CTTCTGAGCTTCTGCACAATTCAGTTTGAAAACTTCTGCTTTGAAATGATCAAAACGACATCGTCACATGCAGCTCTCCATCTTTGTCCACTGCACACGACGTCACTCGCTATGTTAAAGGAAACAACTTTAAGAAATTCAAATTCATCATGCTGTTCTCGTGCAAAATCTACACATGAAGTCAAGTAAACCATCTTCTGGTGTTGTGGCGCTTACGCTACCGGTCGAGTAAGATGAGCTTCCAAAACAGAGAAGCATTTCTAAATGACGTCATAGCTCAAAGGGACGAGTTAGGACGCATAAATCAAGTTAGAGCCTCCATGTTGATTCAGAAAAAACGCGACTCTCCAGCTTCCAGGTATGAAATCTCTAAGCAGACTTCTAAAATGGCACAAATAGAGTCTCAGATAGATTTGATGCAGCACGCACTCCCTAACCTTCAGAGTTGGACCTCCTCCCAAACACAGATGGACCTGATACAGTACGAGCTCTGAAGTGGAGGTTGAATCCCGAGTTCCCAGCAGAGTCAGTATTCCCGATTAGCGGTGGACAATCAGAGCTTCTGAATCAGACAGCAGGTCCACGCTGTCACGGCGCGTCTCTGTGTTTCAGGTCACGGCAGGAACTTCCTCCTCCTCATGTTCGTGTCGCTGCTCGTGTCCGGTCCGCTCAGCAACACGTTGGAGAACACCGAGCGAGCCGCCTCCAGCCTGCTGTGTGGAGCTGAGCTGGCAGCCAATCAAACGCAGGAACTCATGCAGAAAGCAGCCACGCCCCTCTTCTGTAAGCCCCGCCCCCACACCCACTGCAGTTACAGCCGCCAGTGCTCCTAAAAATATACCACTCGTGTTTTATATTGAAATTTAATAGAATTTTAAACAAAATATGAATTTTCTATCAGCGAGCTGCGAGCATCAGTGTTTTTCTTGGTTTGCAGCCGTGTTGGACCACATCAGGGAGATCAGCAGAAACGCGTACGCCGTCGCAGGAAGAGTCCAGAGCTTCATCGACGCTATGACAGACAGCATCCGCCATGTTGGTAAGGCTTTAACCAGCTGATATCAGACAGCAGTTCCTGCAGATGCAGCCACCAGATCCAGTGCACGGCGCGACAGTGGTCAGCACTGTATCCTCACAGACAGAAGGTTCCTGGTTCAAATCCCAGCCGGGGGCATGTCTGTGTGCAGTTTGTACGTTTCTTTCTGTCCCAAAGACAAGTTAGTCATTCTGAAGTGAAACAGATGAAGTGTGCAAAGTCAAGTGGATGCAATATAAATGCAAGCTTTGCACCTGTGACATAACAAAATGAACCAATTAGAAAACACTTTCACAAACATCAAAGACGCCTCAGAGGGTCATAAGGCTGTAAAAGCGTGTATTTATCTCTAATAGGCTCCTCAGACTTTCTCATTTGGTGTAGATGAAGGAAAACTGACCCGAAGCCTTTGTTAAAGAGGACTGATGGTTTCACCCACAGTAACTTACAGTTGGCTGCTCGGCTGCAGTTTCACACCTTCTATGTGCATACCTGGGGATCCACACTCTCAGAGAGCTGCAGGCCCCGCCCAGAACAGAACAGGTGTTCTGGGCGGGGCCTGTCTGTCGCTGACATCAGATCTTAAGTTGAGTTTCTGTGTTTGGTGAAGGAAAGCTGGGCCTGAGGTGTGCAGCACTGTGGGCGGGCTGAGGCCTTATAGGAGACAGTATGTGTCTGACCGACCATGTTTGCCAAACGCCTGCAGATACTCACCTCTGACCTCTGACCCCGCAGCTCGCGCGCTGAGGAATGTCCTACGCTTCCTGGCCGATATCGGGGACATCTGTAACGAAAAGATGGGAACTCCGTACAGGAAGTGCCGATCACTGTTTCAGGAAGCTCGAAGCGACTGCTCTGAGCTGCTGGGCGACTTCAACTTCCTGTGCGACATCGTGGACGGCTTCCTGCCGCTCTGCAACCTGGCCCGCGGTGCGTCCATGTGTCCGGGTCCCCGTGTGGACGTTAACCCTCAGAGGCACAAATATCAAAATATTTTATTCTGATGTCAGCCTTAAAAACCAAAGAGTCCAACATCTGTATTTGCTCTCACGTTCGTCTTTACGTCTCTGTAATCGTCTCGCTGTTGGTCTTTCAGCTGGCGAGTTCTTCTGCGTCGTCCCTTCCTACATCGCTGACCACCTGAGGAAACGTCTCGCGGCTCGTGAGTCCATTTCCTCTTCATCGTTTAGCCTTTGCTGTCGGGCGTGCGGAGGCTGACTCCTGCCTCTTCCAGCTGTCGTTGCAGTGTTTCAGAAGATGAAGCGTGAGTTTGAGTTCAACATCTCCGCCTCGCTGGACTTCGACCTGGATGCCAACAGCAGCCAGTCTCTGCACCAGACGTCTCAGAGCATCATGTCGGAGATTTCATCAGAACTTCAAGTGTTTCAGAAGCTGAGTGGACCGCTGGCGTACATCGGCCTCGTCCTGCTCGCCTGCTCCTTCCTCAGGTCAGGACTCTTCTCACATCTACACACTTGGTTCACTGAATCTATCTGATGTACAACAGCTGCACACTTCAGTTGCTCCACACGGTGCACATGCTTCAGTTCATCTAATAGATGCAACACTTTAAAATCCTTCAGTCACACCACAAGTATTCAGCTTAACTTAGTCCAAGTACAAAACAGGAAACTGATGTAACGCACATAAGTTTATAGCTATTGCTCATTTTGTTGGGCTTACAATCAAAATAGATACATTTTACAATAAAACAACAAAACTTAACTCATGAATGAACAGTTTTTGGAAAGCACGAGTTCAGTTTCACGGCCACGCCGGGGCCGATCACTTAAACCAGCGGTGTCCTTCAGAGCTACCGTCCTGCAGCTTTTAGATGCATCCTTGTTTCGACACACCTGAATCAAATG